CAGCGAGGAAGAAGAAGAAGAAGAAGAAAAAAAAAAAAAAAAAAAGAAAGAAGTCAAAAGTCCTGCGGATGAGGAGGAGGGGTGGGGGGGTGGTCGGGTAGAAAACCGCACGGGAGGTTTGGAGCTGCGGAGCGCACACGGCGGATGGAGCGCACAAATGTGAGGTAAAGTGCGCGCTGCGGGCTGCGGGGGTGAAGTAGAGGAGAGAGGAGAGAGGAGAGGAGAGAGGAGAGTAGCGGCATGTGAGGAGGGCTGCTTTGAGAGGGTGGCAGGTAAACGAACCGCCCCTCCCCGTTTCTGATGCTCAAATCGATGATTTGCCAGCTGTGGCGCAGCTTGTCTCATTGCCCCACTTTGGTTTTTACAGCCGCTCCTCTCCGACGCGCTGATCTCCGGGGACAGAGGGGGAGAGAGAGAGAGAGAGAGAGCGAGAGAGAGGGGAAGGCAACGAGAGAGGGAGAGAGAGAGAGAGAAGTCACTGCCAGGAGAGCCCTCACACTCATTCATTTTCATATTTACACGCCACATGTTTGCATGTCAAGAAGAAGAAGGGGGGAAAAGTCTGCTAAATAGTCGATTGCGCACAGCGGCGCGCGTTTTTGCTCCGTATGGAGAGGAAGCGTGTTGTTGTACCAGCGGAGGGCATCGAGCCAGATCCCGCTCCCCGCACACCTGAGAGGAACCTGAAACCACAGCCCGGTGCAGGCTGCATCACGGGCTCCCTGTGCAGAGCTGCTTATTAGAGCTCATGGGATGATCACTTTCTCTGAGGTTTGCAGGATTAAAAAAAAACCCAAAATGAAATAAAGAGGAAAAAGTTGTTTGGAATAATGAAGTTGTTCCGGCTGTTTTGCCCGAAAGCCAGTTTTTCAATTAATTTGTAAGAAATTAAAAAATATATATAATTGTTATTATTCTGAGAATTCTGCAGTGAACAGTTTTAATGTAGCTGCACTGAAACACACACTTTATTATCTGTATAGAAGCTTTTTTATTCCTGTTTCAACTTCACACACACTCTCTCTCTCTCTCACACACACACACACACACACACACACACACACACACACACATATATATATATACACTAAATAATCCCACCGCAGGCCTATATCAAAAATAAAATACATATTTGAATATAAACATAAATCTGCGATTAAGAAATGCAAATGGGGCAGTGGATCTTTGATTTCTCTCTTTTCTTTTCTTGGACATCTTTAAGAACACAGCCTGCAGCGGAACCGGAGCAGGCACAGAGGACACAGTGACAGAAACACAGCTTTTATTTTCGCCCTCACAGTGTCTCAACGTGTTTGTGCTGTTTTAATTGATTTTCAGCTGGAACTACATTGACTGCTGTGTGAAAAGTAGCCTACGGAATATATCAGTGGCCGGTTTCTGCCAAAATCTGATATTGGACGGGAAACATGTCAAGTTTCAGAGAGTGGTGTGTGGAATTAAATAGTTTGAATGAGGACTGTATTACAGTTAATGAATGTGGAGAAAGAAACATGGATTCATGATGAATCATGTTAATATTTCCTACAAAATGTTGTAATTAGAAAAATATATGAAATAGATTTTTGCATGAATGATCATCTCTTTTCCCACTAATTCTATTGTGCGTGTGTGTGTGTACATACATTACACATAAAAACATTTTTATTTGTGTGCATAAACCTGTGTGCCCCAATTACACACATTTATACTCATTTGTTGTGTGTGTGCCTGTGTGTGTGTGTGTGTGTGTGTGTGTGTGTGCGTCTGCACATGTAGTAACATAGCTACTGCATGGGTGTGCACAGTGTGTCTGCATCTCAGATTGTGGTTTGCATGCACGTTTTTATTTTATGTGTGTATAAACCTGTGTGCCCCATTTGCACACATTTACACTCATTTGTTGTGTGTGTGTGTGTGTGTGTGTGTGTGTGTGTGTGTGTGTAAGAGAGAGAGGAATGATTGACAGTTTGCATCTGCACACAGGCTAACTGCTCTGCACTAGCAGGTGTGCAGGAGCCCACAGGTAATGCAGCTGTTTACTTACAATGTGTTTCTCTTACTGAGTTTAGCATAAATAACACACTGATACGTTCACATTTACAATTAATTTACACATCCCATTGAAAATACAATTAGTGTGGAGCAAAAAAACAAAAAACAAAACAAGAAGAAGCGGAGACAAGACAACAGGAGGTGTGAACCGGAGAAAAAGGTTCGGCCTGAAAAATCCTTAAAAAATAATTATCAGGTGTTTTTTTTTGTGTTTTTTTTTTATCAGAGCAGAATCGAGCCCTTATCGTAAGGTGTACAAATACTTCTCAGAAAAGTTATTTTGCTGTGGTTTTGAGACTCCACAAAAGTTTCATTATGAAGCATCTGAGATCTGCATTTAAAAAAGAAAGGACAAAAAAAAAAATCACACACAAACACACACACACACACACACACACACACAGAATCTCTGCATATGATTCACACCCGCTCTCTCCTGGGAAGCTGAATGGGAATTGAAAAGTTCCAGTAAAGAGATTCAAATTTTCTTGCTGCATAATTATAAATTCATGCTAAGTTAGGGATGTTTTCATCATTACGGACAACAGCTGGTGATTTGACTGCAGCCTGTGTTTTATCCAACAATTCATCTTGCTGCCTCCCAGAGACCCAAATGTACTGCAGCTGACACTTTGGCCACAAGGGGGACAAGTGAGCCTCATGTTAGAGAGAGGAGCGAGGATAAAAAGGATGATGATGATGATGATGATGAAGATGATGACCTTTTCTTCATAAGACGTTCTACGCTCCGGGTTTGTTGTCATGCAATCGCTTCTGCCAGTATTGACGATTTTCAAAAAGCAGCCGACCCTGACCTCTGCATTCAAACACACAGAAGATTATTTGTGCGGCGGAGACGAGGACGAGTTCCAAGACGTTAAAGCAAATTGTTAATGAGCATCTATGTTGCTGAGGCATAAAGAGGGCAAGTGGAAAGCAGAAAAAAGAGAAAAGAGAAAACCAAATATGTGTGTGAAGTGTTCAGAAATCAAAGAAGACCTTGAGCCGAGACGTTTCAATCGTCTCTCTGAAAACAATAAACAGTACTTGGAAAATTACAAGGGTTATACACCCCAGAATTAATCTTTCCAACCCATAACTAAAGAGAGAGACACTGTTGCCTCGCCATCAAGTGGGTATATTTTAATTACAGGCTATTGACTACTGAAAGTAATTTGTCTCAGAAAGATGCCCAAGAGCTAAAAGACAGACGTCTCGACTAAATCTGGAATGCTCAGCCACTTTTTTTGCTCTGGTTTTGTGGTGAGCCCTCGCAACTTTCTTCAGTCGCTCTTCTTTAATTGTTCACCTTTTAAAGATTAACAAGGATTCCCGTGAAGACTGTCACTCTCCTGCCTTTATCCGGGGTAAGTACTGGATTTTCAGACTTTTTTTTTTCCCTCTCCCTCCCTCCCTCTCTCTGAAATTGAAGAGTGGGTTTCTCTTTCCCTTTTCTTCTCGGCAGCTCTTTGAATTTTTTTGAAACGGAGGCACTCCACGAGCTCACCTCTCAAATGAAACACTATTAATCCTCATTTGTGCGCTGCCAAGGAGGACAGTGGAGATGAGAGCCAATCAGAACAATAAAAGCTGACCCTCGGCGGCGCCTCCAAAGCGCACACGCCTCCGGCTGTTAATGGGATGTCAGTCAGCTGGGCGAAAGAAAACAGCCCAATAGTGTAATTACTGTCTGGTGTGAACTCTCAGCTGTGGCAGCTTAATGTCACTTAGTACATTAGTGGGGAGTGTCAGCTGAACGCGTGTGGCAGCTGCCCAGATGTTAGAGGACGTCAGCCATGTGTGGTGAGTTTCTTCAGGTATTCAGAGGTTTTTACAAAAACACAATCACCACAGTTCACGTGTCAGTCGCACAGCGAGGGCCCAAATGCTCCTGCTATTTCTTTTTCCTTTAACTTCCTGTTAACGAGACCATGGAAACTGCCTCATTAAACCTACATCATCTTCAATCGTCAACTCTTTATCACTTGACCACAGAAAATACCCTATAAGCTCAGAGACCATTCAAGTCAAATCGTTGCTGCTTGTAAATTTGTGTCACGTGGTGTAAAATAAAACTTCACTAGTCCCCGGGAAGGAAAATTAGTCTTTACAGATTTATTGTGTTTGTCATTATTAACTGTTGCCTTAGAGGCAAATTGAGTTTATATGGCAAAGGGCTTGAACCTATTTGAGTTTGTGATACTTTTTTAGAGTTGAAAACCTGAAGGGGAAGACCCCATCGAGTTCTACCTTTTTTATTCGTCCCCTCAAGCTGCAGCTGGGTAAATTAAAAAATACAAAACTTGAACTACAAATTAATTCCAGATTCATCCCAAGAAATATGACACCGAATGGCCAGAGGGTGGCGCTGTAATTAATCCCGAAACATGCAATATGGAAAGCCCACGACTGGTGCAGCTCAGTGTTTTCTACAAGAGACAACTCTTGGACTTATTCTTCAGTTATTCAAAGTTTTACATAAAAAAAAAAATCAAAGTTGTCCAAAAAATACAAACGAATGTGAGTAGCAATACTTTTTCTTCTTCCCCATTAATAATCTTACAACTTCTTTATTTATATTTTGACCCATTGGAGGGGCCCAACCCCTGGGAACTACTGGATTAAACCACCCAAGCGTCCATACAGTTTAGTTAAAAGAAGAACTTTTACTTTTAAAAGGCAAATAATTCTGTCTAATAGCATTTGAAGAACTTGTAACAGTATTTTAACAGCGTAGTATCGGTAGTTTTAGTTTGGTTAAGTATCTGGATACTTTCTCTACCACTGATGCGTCAGTAGCATTAATAAATGTTGTCGCTGTTGAACTTAAAATCTGTTCTTCTCTCTTTCACTTTTAGGTTTTATCTCAGTTTCTTTATCCAGACAACAGGTGTCAACAACTTCTGATATATTTCCATAAAACAGTTTCATCATGTCGACGGATTATTTACTTTAGTGGTGACGTCAGGAGGGAGGAGGAGACTCTGGACAATTAAAAAGTCAACAGCAGTCTGCAACTTCTTGTAAGACACTGGACAGACATCCGTCCAACCATCTGCCACCTCCAGCGTGTTTGTGTCAGACTTGCAAACGTGGTTGGATGTCGGGCATTTTAACAGAGCGCAGAGCGGTGGGAGCCGCATCAACGATACCAGGCCTCCGTGTTTGACATGCAACTCAACGCAGCACGGCTGTCACAGTGAGTCGCCCTATCTCCTGGAGAGTTTATTAGCTGTGCTTAATTAAACAAATGTGATTAGACTGATCCAAACTCACACATCTGAATCCTGGGTAAGAAGTCAACCATGAGAGGCGGCCACAGAGAGAAAGTCGAGTCACGCACGGCTTAGCTTTATTAATAGCGCCTATTACTCACCAACGTACACCTTAGCGAGCCGCGGAGTTAACGTGTGAGTAATGTGCACGGGCAGCGACATTTCAGGTCCACTCCTGAAGTTTGTCAATCACGGTTTAGCGCCGACTGTCAAAGAGAAAATGAAGCTCTGGTTATTTGATTGTAATTGATTACTGGTAATATAGTGTAAGATATGTGGGTGGGATTTTGCCATTACCGCTGTCAGTCTGACTCTGTGTGCTAATATTTTACCGGGGTTTTAAACTCCGAGTCGTTTCGATTCAACATCAAGCGTGAACTCTTTAGTTGTCAAGAAAATAGAACTTGCTCCTCAGATGTTCTTTGGTTCGAGGACAGAAGTTGCAGAAAGATGCATCATCTCACAAACTCGGTTAACGTTTGAACTTTCGCTGCCCTCTGCGTCTCCTCAATTTGATTGTGCGCTCGTTACTCAATCACAAACAACCGAGACATCCAGCGCTGTGCCATTTAATACAATGCTTTCTCTATGTCTGAGAGCACTGAGGGGATGTGATGGGGCACTGCAGGTAATACAGCTGCGATAGGTTATTGGGTCAATGCCAGTTCAAACTAATGACGCCTCCAATAGTTTCTTCAAAAGTTCAGGTTAGAGGTCACCAAGCTGAAATCGTTTAAATGACCCATTCAAACTGTTCCGCTTTGGCAAAGAGCTGATTCCTGTGATTGTCTAGAAAGACTCTGTGGACCCGAGGGTTTTCAGTCGGGCACAATCAGCATCAGTCACTTTCAACGTGTGTTTTTTTTAACCATTTAAAGGTTTGTTTGCTTGTCGGCTATAACACTTGAAGGCGATACACTACATGTAAAACAAAACCCGGTATTGATTGTTTTTCAAGTGCATCTTCGAACGGTAATGACGTGCGCATGTGTACATTGAAAGGGTTATTGCTTGTTTAAGTGTTTTTCCTCTGAATACCAGCCACTAAGGAGATCACTTTCTAAATCAATTACACTTTGGGTGATATGAGGACAAAATCCACAGCAGTCAGTGTAAAAGTTCAGCTGTGAGGCTTCAGCAGACGGAGTGAGACAAGCTGAGACGGATTTTTTTCATACTGGGCCTTGAAGTTTTCTTATCTGTGCAAAATAAACAGTTCAGCTAAACTTCAATATTAATCATGTCATGTTGCTAGCCCTTTCCTCTGTCTTGAGCTACAACCTGCTCCATTGATGAGATTAAAGTAGGTGGAGCGCAGCAACCTGTGGCGCATGTTTCAGATCACGGCTAGATTGGAGGCAGCTGCTAGTCTGGGCAGCATGAACGGCTCTCTGCGGAGAATTTAGTGTCATGTGACGGAACAAATGCTGATTCAGAGGCGTTTGCAACCCGATGGCAAGAAGGAAAACGCAACTTTCAGAAACAGAAAGTGGTTGAACCCCAATATTAAGAGAAGGAAGGGAGGAAGTGTAAAATCATTCCTGTTTCCACCTGTTTAACCGGTTCCGCTTCAAAATGGAAAGGGTTCATCCTTGGGTCATGAGCATAGACTGTAAATAAAAATGGCCGACACATCTCCACTTCCTCCAGAGAAGAAGCCTGGATGTGAACACTGCCCATTTGACTTTGCTTTTGTCAGCTGTCAACGTCGTCCATCTTTATTTAAAGTCTATGGTCACGACCAAGCCGTCGACAAAATGTCGTGGGAAGCGGCCCAGCAGTTATTGAGTGATCCTGCTAACACACAAAAACGCAATAAAGACATAACCTCTAAGATGATGTAACTGATACGTCGAATAACGGACAGAATTATTAGAAATGTATTTTGCAACCAAACAATAAAACCAGAGTAGAATCTTCACGTTACGTTGTTGCTTCCTGTCGTGTCTTTGTGAAGCAGATTGAGAGAAGACAGCGATGTCTGTATCAATAAAGATGTGAGTGATAAGAGTGTGGGGGGGGTGACGGATGTATTAACGCTACTTTGTTTTGTTGAGGAACCGTGTCATGGTATACCACATAATTATATAGGTGCATGACGTAACCATGGCAACATATGTAGGCACCAGGTTACACCTTTGCCGTCGTATGTGCACGCACGTGCGTGTGTGTGTGTGTGTGTGTATCAGCGAGAGAGTTGAACTGCTTTGCAAACACGATTGAAGTCATGAGCTTCATTGGAGACGTCAAAACAGTGAAGCGTAACATTAAGACTCTGATTCAATTAAATTTTTGTCCGAGTGAGAGACGCTTTAAAGGCACAACAGTGTTGAGCACCCGTGTGCAGAATGTTAAGTACACAGACGTTGATGTGTGTAGTTTAGTGGCGGATGAAATCATCAAACTAATTTCCTCCAATGTTCACAGAGTGTGGACACAAGAAACATTCTGCTGTTACGAAGCCGCAAACAAGTTTGGTGCAAATAAATGTGAATTTTGTGTTGTTCAAATATATACATCTGTACTTGACATTGACTCTCAGAGGACATCAAAGTTTTGTCCATGGAGCAAAACCTCTCAGCCAGAAGCAGAGCAAAGCCCGGACAGGTCGCCAGCGAGTCACATGATCGACAGAGAGACAAACAACCATTCATGCTCAGATTCACACCTACAGTCTGCAGAAAACCCCGAGCAGACACTGCGGAGAACATGACACATGAACATGAAAACCTTTGTATCACTTTCTGAACACCAAGCAGACACAGAGAGGCCGTGACCGAGCCAGGACTCGAACCTCCGTGCTGCGAGGTGACAGTGCTAACCATGGCACCGCTCGATACTTCTACCAACTGCTTCTAAATGGACTTTGGTAAAACTCTCCTCCTGTTTTCCGTTAGCATCAGGCTCAGACGCTGTTTGCGTCTTTAAACCCGACTTTATCTGCACTGAAACATTTATCCTGGCCTCCGTGTACTGCTGCATCCATCACATCACCATTAAGAATTGGAATGCCTTTAAGCCTCTTAAGCACGTTTCCATTTTAACCAACACCACCACCACCAGAGGAATCTCTAATTCGGCATCATTTTTTAGCGAAGCTCGTCTAAACTGATTGCGTTTGTAATGTCGATAAGCAAAGCGAGCAAAAACATGGTTCCGCCGAATGTGAGTGAATAACGTGGAGCAAACCGCCGGACCATTTACCAGATTAAAAACAACAATGCGAGTCAATGTGTAAGACTAAAATAATGACTTGTTCTTCAAACAGTAACTTGGTTCTCTGGAAAATTCATATGGGACAATTTCCATTCAAAGTACATGAGACAGAAGAAATGGTTGACTCACCTTTACTGTGTTGAAGCTGAGGCAGAAATCTCATTTCTCCAAACCACAACCCGAGAACCATCTGAAACAGAAACAGAAGGGTTTTAAACCTGCAGCTCCATAAAACTGGGAGACTCACAGGAGACAAGTTTAAACAAGAGAGGTCATAATTCGTTTTGCTTCAGTCTATAGCTCCAAAAATGTTGTATTGCTACATTTCCCATAATGCTTATGTCATTTACTTATTCTGTTTAATTTATGCAAGTCTCAATTCGAGTTGTGAATAGTTAAAACAACGACGACTTACAGTAACTGATCCTTGTATTGGAGATAAACTCTGCTTTTTAATTAGTTTTAATGAACAGCATACGCGAATAAGCGAAGAACTTTAATCGCTTCCTGTTTCGCAGAAGTTCACAGCGTAGCTTTGCGTGAACTCTGACCTGTTCCACACTTCCAACAGGAGATCGTACCCACTCAAAAAGTGACATAGAGCAACAGCGGATGTTCAAGGTGAGCGTGGGACCGAAAGAGGAAACATTCCCCTGATTCTCAGTCTTCAATCATTTTGAAGCTGCTTTTTTAAGGTTAAAAAAGTTGCATGGCGTTTCTTTGGGTTAAAAATCGACAGGAGATCTCCGCTGACTTGCGAGGAGTCATCAAAAAAAAAGTCTCAGACCAGTCGCGGGGTTTTCCTTTACTGCACACTGAAGCACTGCTTCATTTTTAACCGCGCAAGTGTCCCCGGATCATCCATCAATCCGGAGACATCTCCATACGCCGCGATGCATCACTTCATTTCCAACAATCACTCATACTGTAAAGCTCTAATCCAGCTCGCACTCTCGAGTCGTCTTTGACAGCAGCTTAGCCACCCTGCCATCCAGCGTAACACAGCGGGTGCGGAGGAGCCCCTCAGGGGTGAGATATCCTCCTCCTCTCTTCCACCTCTTCCCTGGTTGCCCCTGGTGACAGTGACAGAAGTCTGTAATTGCCACCTCGTCAGACGGCTTCATTAAGACGAGCATTGTCTGCACAGCTGAACGACGGTGGATGGGGAAGAGCGGGGAGAGAGCCCACAATGCAATTACTGCATCGCTGTGACAGGTGGGGCCTCCAATCCTCTGCGTCGGTGGGGCCTGATGCATGTTGGGGAGCCACGGCAGGCTTGCATCATTTTTCACCCCCCCTGTCATTAGTTGGTAATGATTGGATTATTTTGCAGATGAATCGCAGTATATGTCTTGCTCAGAAACACTTCCTGGCCGTATTAATCAAAACCATCAAGGCAGAGCAGTCAGCGCGAATTAAAAAAACAACACGTCTAGATTAAAAATTACTGTAATCCTTCATCAGTGTGCCTTTAACCCTTTGATTGCGGGGGTGTGCCATCTTTAATCAATGTCTTTGACATAGTGACAGTCTTTATGAATCGTAAAACCCAGATTACCGATAATGTTTACGGTTCATAACACTTGAGCAGGAGCATTCAGCACCAAAGCATCAAACACAATTGTTATCACATCTTGTTGTAGCTCTATAGGAATTTTATTTACACTGAACTAGCACACAGGTTGCACTCAGTGCTGCTGACCTGCACAGCGAGGGTCACATGAAACACATTAATTATCGAATTAGATAAATTAGAAGTGTAAGAGAGCTGTGACACAGAAACAGGAGGTTATCTTATTTTTAAAATGATCCTAAAATGTGTGTGTTTTTTTTAAATCATCCCCAATATTTAGTTTTTCTATTCAGTAAATTTGGAATCAGGAGTAAAGAAAAAGAAAGGTGAGTTTTGCTTTTAAATAGTTCGACCGATCGTTCAGTCACACGACTTGTACCGGTGTCTGTGCAGATGCAACATGTACAGTTTCATACGTTTGTGTCCTTTCGCAGACTCAAACAATGAATGAACAATCTTCACCTGATGTAAACTACAGTTGTCTTGCATAGATACTGTATTAAGAAATAACTTAAAGTATGTCATGTGATATAATTCAGGGTTCAGCAGAATCTGTGTTTCTTATATATTATTGTTACTATTATCAAATATATTTTGAAAAAGCAAAAGGAAGTTGTTACAAAGCTGATGTATATAAGTGCCGTGTAATAGCTTTTCATTGTAGAAGTGTTTCTGTGCAGCTACAAATACATATGAGGTAATGTGTGTATATAATGTGTACATAATATATGTATTGTATTTTTGTCGTATGACCTTTTTAGTTGAGCTGCATTTTGTCTAAATACTAAATTCACCATCACGCTCATGACGGATACTCTCTCATTTCTGCTCCGAGACGTGCAGAGAGCCGCAGCCTGACTCGCTCTCACTCAGTCCACCCCCAGTGAAACACATTCCTTTCATCCATCAAAATTCCACATGATTGAAAATGCCCTCGGTGGAAACATATCATAGCCATCCACGGCTCTTGGACCGCTCCCATTGGGCGGTTCGGCCCATGCCAGGCGTCTGGGTTGGCCCAGGGCCTCCAGGGAGGCCGGGGCTTATGTCTCCATGGGCCAGTAAGCCTAGAGGCCTCGTAGCCCTGGGAGATGTAGCAAATCAGGGATGCACCTTGGCACCGGTGCCCCCCCACCCTCCCCTTAGCCTTAGGACTGCCATAGCTAAAAGACGGTTAATGGTGGCCAACTGTGCAGCGAGTGGGTCTGGGGTGTTGGGGAAGCGTGTCTGTAGGTTCATCTGGATTGGCGTCGATAAGGATGTTCGCTCTCCGTCCTCTGCCTATCACTGCCATGCACAGGATGAGAGCTGAGTGTGACACGTTTATGTTTCTGTGCTTGGGTGTGCATCTGTGTGTGTGTGTGTGTGTGTGTGTGTGTGTGTGTGTGTGTAGCAGTGACACAATGATGAGAGACTGGCAGACCATCTTCAGAATGCCAGCAGTGACTGATGCCACACCAGACATTCCTTTCAGAGGAAACGGCGGCGTGGTCAGAACCATGCCAGCTTCCACAGGCCCGCAGGACACCAGCAACCCCCCCCTCCTCCTTTAAGCAGAGACCACGGCAGCGATGGCTCGAGCTTCCAACGAATGTGTGGAACTGTGCAAATGGGAAAACAAACAATGTGGGAAGATGTGTTTGGTCTCAACTTTTCAGATTTTTTACTTGGTAGAGCTGCAATTTTGTTTTTCATTCAACTTTGTCGTGTATTGGACGTCTTACTTTCACTTGTTGAGTCAAAGTTTGGTTTTGAGTTTGACTGCGGGTTTGTTGAATCAGTGCATATTTATTTTCACAAACTGTGCTTACACATACAGTCCCCTTGAATTTAACAAAAATCCAGCTAACTACCAAACAACCACAGCTGAAAACATAACCTCTTTGAAGGAGGTCATAAATTTAACCCTGGACCTGAAGCCACACTGCGAAAGATATCATGAGCCACGCTCCTCTCCTCCTGTCAGGTGAGCTTCTCCGTCTCGTAGCTCAGATTTTTTTCCAGAGGTTACGGGGGTATTCAATCGCCACAGCCCCTCATGCTGCACCAAGGCTTAAGTGATGACACAGAATGATTATAGCAGCAGTTAAATACCTGGTCTAATGAGCCAATTAGCCCTATTGACATCCATGGCTGTCTCAGAGGTGGAGTGAGTACCACGTACATGCTCCTTAATCAGAACCGATAACACCATTTAGCCTTCAAACGCTAATCCTGACTCCGGGGCTCGCTCTGGAATCCACTGTGATTTCTCTGTACTCAAGCTGAGAAACTTCACGCTTGATTCATTTTTCAATTCCGCTCCTCCTGCATAGTTGTAACTTCGCTGTGGTTTTACAGGCATTATGACTGGTTAGTTTTGATATGATTTTTTTTTTTTTTTTTTTTGCAAAGGGTTGTTTCCAAGCTCAATATTTTTCGAAAAAAAAAAGAAGAAATTATGCAGAAAAGATGCATTTTGCATATTTTTACAGCGATCACTATAGATATTTGACAATAAGAAGTATTTTTCCTTTTATCTAAGCTGTTTTGCAGATGTAAGAACAGACGATGGAAAACCTTTATTGTCGGTTGAGCTCCGTTTCATGGTCTACAAAAAACAAAACCGAAAAAGTGGTGACATGTGCTTCACGTAAAGTTGGGGCATTTCATTAAAAACCCATGCCACATCAAAGAGACTGAAAGACAAAGGTTTAGCTGCGGGGACTAGTTGAGTCACAGAGGTGTGAATGTTTTGATATTATTCAAGTAACTGTAAAAATTATGTATTTCTGTCTTTCAGCACCGTGAGAATATCTCAGCTTGTGCACATGAAACCGTTTTCCTTTCTCGGTGTATTGTTGAGAAGGTTTTTATTTAACAAAGTGAGTAATTCCGTTGGACCCAAGGCAGAAAAACTACTTGCATTTCCTTGACTTACGTTTACCAAAAAGAATTTAAATGTCACATTCGAGGAAAAGCTCTGGTTTTATATATCATACACAGACAGGAAGCACTGAGTACACATGAGTTTGATATGGAGGGAAGATTATGTCTTTGTGGTCGAAGGGAAGCGAGAAACGTGCTGCTTATCTGTTCATCTTCATGTCTGAGGTCAGTTACACAAACACACATACGCTGATGTCCTTTCATACATGACAGAGACACAAAGAACACAAAAGACAGTGGCTCACACCTGAATTTAGGGCACCTACATCTGCCACGTGTGGTGTACACACACAGACACACACACACACAGATTTCTATCTCTGTAAGGACACTCACTGCAGTGATACATTCCAAGCCCGTGACTTTAACCACGGTAACTTATTCTAAACCTAAAGCTGCTTTCAGACATGCACTGAACTCCAGATATTTCAAGTGAAATAATCCAGAGGAGCTATATTTGAAAAACACAAATGCCAGAGTCAGTCGCTCCAGACGTTCTCTGAAGTTTTTCCACCCAGCCTCTTCGTAAAACACTCCAGAGGATGTCAGAGTGAGCCCATGTGAGAATACAGGCTCTCGTTCAAGTGACGTGCCAAGATAATTGAGATATAAGATATATATAAGAGCTTTTGATGATAAGGCCGATGCCGGTGTGGATGTGCTGTAAACAATGAATTTATACGTCATGT